CTTTATTTTCCTTTCATTTTTTTTCTTTTTTCTTGTTTTTTTCTTGTCTTTTTATATCAGATGTGCATGAGGCGTATGCCTCTAGCATGCTCAGAGGTGTTAGCGCCTCTAGTATACGCCTCAGGATGTTTTGGGAGCACCTCGCCTAGAGGCGCCCCTCCATGCGTACACCTCCCACGCCTTTTAAAACATTGGTTAAAAGTAAGTGGGAGCAATCCTCACCATTAGCCCTGCAAAGTACACACCAGTTAGGAGAAAATGCATGGAAGGCCTTTTCTTCTACAAGCAGTGCAAGGTATTGATCTTTCTATAGAACACCTCTCAGCAAAAAATAATGATTTTAGGAGGAACAGGTCTAGACCAGATCTCCTTAGCTACAAAACCCAACTGTCCAGGGGAGGAGCAAAGGGACTTAAAAACGGAGGCACGCATGAAGAAACCTTTTGGAAAGTCATGTTGTGATATGGACTTCAATCTAAAACTGGGTAAATAGCATACACTAAAAGTCTTTCACTAGTCTTGGCACTTCATCTCTAAAACGCATTGAATAAACCCATGTGTATCTAAAGTGGTCATCAACAAGTGTAATAAAATACTTGTAACCATTCTTTGAAGGTCAAGTAACAGGGCCCTCCACATCAAAGCGAACAATATGGAAAGGAAAATCAAGTCATTTAGTTCTTGAAGGATAAGAAGTTCTACAACATTTTCTTAATAACACTATAACTCTGATACTGACATAGACTTGAATAACTCTAGAAACAAAACCTTTAAAAGAAATATGACAAAGGCGGTTATACCATAAGTTAACTTGAGTCTTATAGGATGGACATGTAGACTCTGTAGTTGCAAGGCCAACTTTATTAGCCAACACATAGAAGCCATCGACCATGCTTCCTCTACCAATTGTCTTCCCAGAGGTCAAATCATGGAACACACAAAAAGGAAAAAGTCACTAAACAATTCAAAGAGCTAGTAACACTACTAATGGGCAACAAGTCAATAGGCAATTTTTGAAAGAAAAAGGTCATATGGAAGAGATATAGATCCCTAACCTCCTATGGAGGAGAAAGAGCCACCAACAAGTCCCACTTTATTTCTTCCGAGGAGAACCGGAGAAGGGTATAGGATTGAAACAAAGTTACTTACCAGTCATGTGATTTAAGGCTCTAAAATGAATAATCTAGGAAGGTTCCGTAGAATGAAAAGACACATGGAAGGCAAAGGTGGTGTTAGCTGATGTAGATGCAAAGGAAGTGGAGGGGGCAAGGCTATAATCCATCTAACAAAGTGCCCTACCATACAACTCTAAGTGAATGCCAAAGGTGTTGATGATGTCCTCACCGAGATTAGCACTAGAGAAATGTTCTCGATTGCTCATAGTAGAACAATTAGATTGAGTTTCCTGACATGCCATGTTCGCTGAAGTATACTTCCTTTGACCTGATTTCTTGTTTTGGTCTTGTGCTAGTTTTTTATTTAAACTTTGAGTCCATTTTTGCTTTCCAATTAGATTCCAACAAGTCTCCCTAGTATGTTTGGACCATTAACAATGAGTACACCATAGCTTGTCTTTGTCATCCCCTTTCTTTTGGAATTTTCCCTTCCTTGCATGACTCATACCACTCATGCGTCCCCTAGTAGCAAGGCTATCTGCTACCCCTCAGGAGCATTCATTGTGTTACCCCTACTTTCCTCAAACTAGACTAGAGTATACACTTCCAAGAAAAGGAAGATCTCTTTTGCTCAAATGTTGAACTCTAATAGGCTCATATATAGGATTCGGCCCAAGTAAAAAGGCAAAAACACATTGTTAGGACACCAACTTCTTATAGAGGCCTTGGCATCCTCATAATTCTTCCACTTAATACTCTGATAATAATCTATCTCCTTCTAGACTAAAGTAAGGGTTGAGTAATAAGCAAATAAGCTTTGTTCCCCTTGCTTACATGTAGAGGACTCTGCTTGTAATTGATAAATCCAAATGTATTGTCTCTGTTCTGAGTAAGGAGACTTTACCTGCTCCCAAATTTCCTAGGATGTATCAACTCACACACATAAAGTTCTTTTTAACTGAAAGGAAACATGGATGGAAGCAGCTAGGACATAATTAAATAATTCCCCTGATTCCAATTATCATGCTTTGCAGTTTCAAATGTTGGCTCCTTCACAGTTCCAATTAGGTGGCAAATCTTACCTCCAGTTGTGATATGCGGTTTAATCTCCTAGGACCATGCTAGGTAGTTCATACCATCAAGTGTGGTAATTGTCATGGGAAAACTCATATGGTCCACTCCATTGTCCGGTCCTCCATGACTACTAATAGAGGTAACATTAGAGGTAGCAATATCATCAAATGCCATGAGAGCACACCTTAAGTAAGTAAGACTATTCACTGCTGTCTACACAGAGTAACAAGGAAAACACCATTCTTTGGAGCAAACCAGCATCTTCCTAACAAGCCGAGACCAAAAACAAGCCTCTACCAACAGAAAATGATGATAACACTACTGAATTCCCCTTTAGGAACACCACTAGACTCTTCTAGGACCAAGACTAGGTCACTTGCACATCAAACAACAGCACTCTGCAACTATTACTAAGATAATAAGTCATACCAGACCTAGCACAGGTCACAAACCTCAACATAAGGGGATCATACAATCCACAAAGGGTCACGAGGGGCTTCTAGATTGCTCTATAGCATTGGGCCACCACAACCACAGAACTGTCTTTGGTACTACGACCAAGATAGAAGAGGGAAAACAGCACATGAACCTGTCTCGGATCAAACCAATGTGGTTCTCCTGTCTCAATCTAGGGAAGATGAAGAATAAACAAAAAAGTTGTCACGATCTGCTCTCAGGTCTCAGATCTTAGCGCTGATACCACACTATTCATGAAATGTGGAAGTCTCAATCTAAGATCTCAGATCTTAGCTCTGATAGCACTCCTTTTTATTATTTATAGGCAGCAAAAGAAAAAATGTAAAATGTCAAAGGTGCCCTTGCAGCACAAACAATAAATACAACAAGACGGAAGTTTTTCAGAACAAGAGATGTATAGCTGAAGATATTATAAAGAAAGCAGCATACACCTTTTACTCTTGGCTGTCAGTTCACCTGGCTAAGGAGATACCACATGATCATTCTTTTTTATTTGCACTAGGGGTGTTCACAAGAAGAACCAAACCGATCAGATCCAACCCGATCTGGTCGGTTTTTTGAAACTTTTGGTCGGTCTCGGTTTATAAAATATAAACAACCCAGCAGGTCGGGTTGGTTTCGGTTTTTCAATCTGAAAACTGAACCAACTATGGCTAATAAAAGTCTAATACTTCTGGTTTTGGAATAGAAACAATGGGACTCCCTCCACTTTTAAGACTTTACACAATACTTTTTACAAATATAGACAGTTGGACTCCACTTTAGTTATTACTTTTTTTATATTAGTCTTGAAGTTGGAGATAATTAGGCTCCCCTTCATTCATAACTTTTTTGTAATAGTCTTGAAGTTGAAGAGGCTTACACAAAAATGGCAACCAGCTTTGGGTTTGGGGTTACTTACTCCGCAGCCTATATGACTTAGAAAAAGATGGTGTTTGACTCAAACACGCAATGAGCCAATTCAGCCAATAAGAGCCATATACAAAAAAGGTAAAGGAGATTGAAAATCAATAAATCACCCTTGATGACCAATTGGCCATCCCTAAACTGGACCAACCAAACTGAAAAACCAACCCAAACTGACCCTTCATGTTTGGGTTGGTTTTCCCTTATAACCAGTCGGTTTCAGGTTTTTTTTTTATCAAACTGACCAGGTCGGTTCGGTTGAGCAAAAAACCTACAACCAACCCGTAAACACCCCTAATTTGCAGTCTTTTTATCTTGGTGTACATGGGTGCTGACTTGTATAATCTTTTCTGATACTTCAATCAATGAAATACAGTACCTTATCTGATTGACAAAAGGGGCAAAACTATCATCTATAGTTTTCTATGGGAACCAAGAAGAGAATGTCCAATTTGGACATCAACACATGTGGTCTCAAACATATGATCAAGGCTGCCAATTATAGCCATTCATTGTCCAATCCTATCATGTGTTTAATCATGCTATTTGTTTGGAGACAATAAATCAAAAAAATAAGAAAAGGCACAAGAAAAAGGGATTCCAATAGAAAGAAAACATGACAATCAAAACGAGAAGACTATGCAAAAAAGAAAGCATAGGAGATATGTTCTAAAAGGTTAATTAAACTCCTAATCTACTTACCAAATCCCCTTCCTGTTTTAGAATTACAAATGCCACAATGCCATGCATCCTGAAACAAACAAGAAAGGAAGATTTTAACTTTTGTCATAACAATAATATTGACCAAAAATAAAAAAGAATGGAAGAAGCACAATTAGTGTTGCATGGGCTCACATGGGAGTCGGAATCTGACACATGTCCAGGAATCCAACTCAGTGAACCCCAAAAGGTAGGATTGGTGGACATGTCTCGCATAAATAATATTTTATATTATTTTTAAAACAGTTAAATTACGCATACCATTGACAAGTTAAACTCACAGCCTTTGCCTATTTTCCACATAGCTATATGAATTGTTTATCATTGTTTTCCTAATTTCATGTTAATTGAAAAAGGTACAATAAATAATGGATCATAAATCATGTGTAAACTGGAAAAAACATAAATATACAGTGTCCTGTTGGACAGCTTAAATGGTTGACAAGGCATTTAAAATGAGGTTTCGTAATTTTGGAGAGTTCATGTGGTGGGGATTTTGATAAATCCGCCTCATTCACACTGAGGCATCTATAGAAGTGATAGGTTACAACAGAATGAAGACACACACGTCTGTACAAAGCCATACATTACCATTACAAAGGATATATATTGATAATAAGAGAATACATTGTTAGTAAAATAACTGACCATAGCTGCCTGAGGGAAAACACCAAGGGCATGATGTCCAACATTATCATATAAAGATAGACACCACCTTTTCTTAGCACGAGGAGCAAAATATTCTGCCACAAACTTCCTCCAATAGGCTATACTATTGTCCTATTAAAAGAGCAAGAAAGACAGCAGAGTTACAAACCCCTCAATTGAGCCAATAAATGATTTGGCATCACCAAAAAATGAAAATAATATAAGAAAGCAACCCAATGAGAATATTTAATTAGTAAAAGGAAAAAAGAAAGCAATGGGTGCAAATAAACAAGTTTACTCAATGAAAGCACCAACTCACAGGTGGGTGATGACGATGATGATAAATGTACTGCATTAGCCGGTGAGCACATACACCATTCTCATGTGGGCGCTTTGTGGTAGAGAGTGGTTGTATTACTTGCTGTTGCAGGTGGTGTCTAAGCTGTTGGTGCTGCTGCTGCTGCAAGTGGGCCCGCTGCATCTGTGGCATAGACTGCAAAATCTGTTGTTGCTGCTGGCGTAGTCTCTGCTGCTGAATCAAGGCTTGTAACTGTGGATTGTGACCTTGAAACTGCATGGAGTCATGTCTCTGCAGTAGCTGTTGGATAACCTGCTGCTGCAGGATGTCTTCCTGCCTGGTGTCTAGCCGGGGTTTCTTTTGCATCTGGGTTAGATTATTTGGTTCCTGAGATGAGGAACTTGGGATATGGGTGCCAGTAGGAACTGAAACTTGGCCTGTTTGTGGTGTTGGATGTGATGAAGCAGTGGAGGCCCCTTGCTGTTGCTGCCTCTGTTGCATTTGCTGAGAGCTCTGATCTTGATGAGGGCTCTGCTGCACTATGGAGGATCCATCTATCACAGAAGAGCCCGAAATGCTTACATTATTGGACGAGAATGACATGGGTGATGCAGGTAAGCGCACATAAGATTCTGTGTTGATGCTAGTGCTTCTCTGCAGATGAGGTCCTCCAGAGAGTGCTGAATTGGCGTCTGTGACTAATGAACTTGCTCCAACACTTGGTCCTGAGTTTGTTGTGCTGTTCAAGACCGCCCTATTCATGTCTCCAGAAACCAGGCCCAAATTTGAATGCCCTGCACCTGGAATAGAATTCGACGAGTTCCCAAAAGAAGAATTCAAGTGGGAGTGCACTGGGACCTGCAACTGCCCATCTCCTTGGAAAAAGATACCAGAGCTTGAGGATGACTGCACTGATCCTCCAGCCACCCGAGACAGAGCCACAGAGGGCACCGCCGACTGGTGGCTGGAATCCAAGTAGCTGTCCAGAGCCAGCCCTACAAACCGTATAGAAGGGGGAAATGGTCAACCGTATTCACAGAAAAACCCCCATACAGGAAACCCTAATAAATTTACCCGAACCCAAAGCCACCATAAAGGATTTCCTTCGAGGCTTCAATCAGATGAAATGAAAGAAACAACTTATCCCTTTGTTTGTGTAATGCATTAGCAGAAGGAAAGCTTGAATATTTGAGCAGAAAGGTTACAGACGGTCTAAAGAATCTCTTCCAAAAAAGGAGCCGTGTTAAGGGTCTGCGTTACTGTTGAGGAGAAGACAAAGCAAAAATAACAACAAAAGCGATAACCCAAAATTAATTAACAGAAGAAGAAAATGAAGAACGATAGAAGAGGCGAAGAAGGGAAGAACCAACTCGAAACCACCTCTACAGTAAAACGGATTCAGAAGAAACAGAAAAAAGGTGGGGGGGAACTTCCTGCGCTAACCCTCTAATGCAAACGAAAATCCGAACCATTCCAACGAAAACCCTAATTTTCTACCAGAACAAGTTCCAGCGTAAAACCCGAAATTCCTGCACAACAATAGTATGAAAGAATCGAAACCGAAACATACAGTTGCAGAAGAAACTCAATCAATTTCATCATCTTAAACTTTAAGGCTTACCTACGTGAAATACATTCAAAAATCCAAAAGAAATTAAAAGTTCTGAACTTTTAAATCACGACCTAAGGGAACAAAATAATTAGAGAAAACTGCACAAATCGGACACTAGAACCATCAAATTGTCTTCACTGTCAAGTCTCAACACAAGGAACAAAAAAAAAAAAAAAACTAAAATACCAAAGTGACAAACAAGCAGGAAGAACAAAACGGAAATATAGAACTATACGTGAGTTTGCACTGTTAAATAGTGAACAGATATTCTCAGAGACATTTCAGAGAGAAAAAAATATACACAAAATTCAAAAAAAAAATAGAGAGAGAGAGAGAGAGAAATAACTAAAAATTAATTAATCGATTAAGGTATAATGCGGACCTGAATATCGAGCTGGACAAGCCAACCAACAGCTAGCCACCTAGCAAATCATCTTCTTCAAACAAAACCGCCATCGCCTTCGTCGACGATTATATAAGTTCGCGGCCTCGCGGGAATTGCAGAGAGTGACTGGCTGCACCGGTTGAAAACCCTACGACAACCGGCTATCTCCGGTGTACAGTATGAGCAGAGAAGCGACACGGGCTCGTCTTCTCTGACACTCAAACGTGGCAACGTTTTTATGTTTGACGTTCCAACGAAACAGAGAGGACAATGACAGCGACAGTGACAATTCTGACCGTTGGATCTGCCAGGAGGGACAGGAAAGATATGTATACGATGGAAACGGAACAGAGATAATAAGCCCTCTTACCGAAAAAAATAAGAAGAAAGATGCGAGTGGAATCGGAATAGAGATAAGCCCCTCGTGTGACTCTGCCTGTCAGATGCGAGTGGAGATCGGCTTCCTATGTTTATTTTTGGGTTCTATTTATAATTTTATGTGTTTTTTATTATTATTTATTATTTACTATTATTTGAGCATAGTCTGTTACCTCGTACTAATTATGAGGATAGTATTTTTGATATTTTTTATTCATAATAAATTTTTGACACATATATAAATATATAAATTTTATTTGATATTTTTATATATAATTAATATTTAATTAAAGAGATTAAACTAATTTTTAATTTTAAATAATAATCCACTTTTATGAATAAATAAGGTTTTATAATTTTTTTTCTTTTCAGTGGAGTTAACCATCACTACCTTTTTGAGTGTGAATGTAACTATAGATTGAAGTTCATTTTTTTTATAAAGAATGATGTTTTTGTTTGAAATTATGAATAACCACTTTTGAAAAGCTCTTTTTGAGAAAATAATATGCCATTTGTATGAAAGAAAGGTCATGCTTAAGTGGAGGTGTGTGTGTGTGAGAGAGAGAGAGAGAGGCTGGGATGGAGAGGGAGATTGATATAAGGCTAATCTAGTGTTACACAATCTTTGCCATGTTGTTTTAGGGAAAAATCCAATGTATGGAATTGAGGAGATTGTGACTTAGAATTATATAAATACCTCTTCTATATTTATAATCTTTAGGATGATTTACTAATACTTCTATAATTTTACATAATTACTAAGTGAGTTTTTAGGGATGGCAATTTTTATCCTACTCGGTGGGTACTTGCCCCAATATGTGAGTTTTTCTTTTTTTTTCTTTTTTGTTTGAAGGATAGACTTTGGGGTGAAACACAACCCTCCCTATCACGCATATTGTTGGAAAGCATATAAACTTTATGTTTTAGGTGTTGAATTTAACAATAATTTAAATTGTGTGAAGGATAATTGATATTTTATATATTTTTACATGTCTTGGTCAAATAATTTTAAATCTTGTTGTTTGTTGATACTATTGTACTTGTTTATTGCCTGTATAACAATGAATAATAAGAAATTATATACAAGCTCTAAATCCAATCCACCCTACCTTTCAATGCAGGGAGGGTAGGGTCGGATAGGGTTTTGCAATTCCATGTGCGGGAAGGATTTGAATTCTCAAAATCCAACCAGATATGGGTTTTGGGGCAGGTATGGTTTAAGAAGTTTAGGCCCTTTAGGGAGGTATGTAGGGTCTATAGTTTACAAAACCCTCCTTGAACCCACCTCATTGTTGTCCCTAACTAATACCTGCCCAACAGTTTGGTTATTATTGACACCCCTCTATTTTACAAATTATGATCACTACTTGGCAATAACTTTGCCAAAATGTTTCCCTTATTACTGGTTTTCTTAAATGGAAGTGTAAAATGATATTTTTGACCCTACAATAATTTCAATCAAAATAACGAAAAGAGAATAAATATTCTAAATGTTGATTTCAAATAATAGAAAAATAAAAAGTAAGAATAAACAATAATAAAATGCATGATATAAAAATAATAAATTAAAATATAAAATATATGAATATAATAGAAAATTACAAACTAAAAAATAAACAAACAATAAAAACTACATTTTGTATTACTGTCCATTTTACTTTGCCTTTTTTCTTTGTATTATATTCCATTGTTTTTTACTTTTTTTTTGTCTAATTACTTCTTGTATTATTTTCAAAACAAAACAATGTTGGAGAGGGACAGAGGGTGATATGAGACTGTTTAAAATGATTTTAAGGGAAAAAAAAAAGTTCCCAAGCAAATATACAAAAAATTCCTAATGGAAGGTGTATTAACTAGAGTGGTTGCAAAGTATAGGGGTGTAATGGCAATGTGCAAAGTCACAAACCATAGATGGATCTTAGTACTTGCATGAAACTATGGGAGGTTTCTTAGTAACCAACCCTAATTTGGGTTTTTATTGTTGAGTCCCCCTCATAAATCATTATGAGTTTGTACAGTTGAGAACAGTGTAAATGGGGGAATCCATCACAATTCAAGGGGCGCAGTGTAACATAGGTAGGATCTTGGGAAAATATATTTAGAAAACCAATAAAATTTTTTGATCGGGAGTAGGTTATAAATTTCCCCTTATAATTTATAATACATCTAAGATATCAAAGTCAAAGCATTTCGGTCCAAATGAAAATAAAATTATACTAATCCATTATTTTTTTTCATGATGGAGGTCTAAATATGACCTAGGTCACCCCAATCTTATTCATTATACTACCTTTTGGGGGGATATTGGTAATGTGGCTCCCTCAGGGGCCAAGTGCTACACACAAGCCAGTCTAGCTTACAAGTGAGTTGCTAGATTAATTATAAGCTGCACAAAATGTGGAGAGACAGCCTTTCTGTGGTTTGAATTCATACCTCTACAATAGTATTATTTTATTCATTATGCTGTCTCTGGTTGCAATGTAAATAAATTTATACCGATGTAAAACTATTCAATGCAAATTATTTGAGTGTAAATTCTGACTTGTTGCTGATTCAAAATTTAATTTATTGTGTTTGATTTCATACAAATAAAATAAATTAGGCATGAAGCAAAATAAAGTAAAACCCAACACAAAATTAAATAAGATTGTACATTTTTTTTCATTTGCACTCCCATGTATTTGTATTGATGCAAATAAAATTGCACTACAACCAAGCATAGCCTTAGAGTCACAAAAAACGAGAGGCAAAAAACATGTAATTCAATAGTCCGGGGTCAGCATCGCAAACCCTAACTGTTTTGATCCCCTGCATTTGTACTTTGAGTCCAAAATTCCAAAATTATAATAATATTTATATTGATTTTACCTCTTCAGACTCGATTAATACATAACTAGCAGAGGGGCCCTGCTTCGCAGGGGCTGGAATAGAACTGTCGATTCGTTGACCCGTTGATCCGGTCTTTGGCCAAAAACCGTTGAATTGGTCAACGACCCATTGACCCGAGTGGTCGAACCATTGACCCGTTCAATGGTTTATGGCCGTTTTTTATTTTTTTAATTGGGAACCATCCAGGAAAACGGTTCTATTTTATCCTAATCTCGGTCCCTAGCCAAAAATCGATGAATCGATCCATGACCCATTAACCCGGGCGGTCTAACCATTGACCCGTTCAATGGTTTTTTGTTGTTTTTTATTTTTTTATTTTTGTTGTCAGGACGGGCCATCCATTCGAACTGAATAGTTGAACTATAAACACGAAAACTGGTGGTTAGAATGGTTCCGTTTTCAGGTTGTATGAGTCACACGCTCGAATGACATAACACGTATGGTATTGCTTAATGGACCTCACACACTCAATTTTTTGCCTGTAATTTTTGTTGTCAGAACGGGTTATCCATTTTTTTTATTGGGAACCATCCAAGCAACCAGTTTTGTTCTACCCCAATCACGGTCCCTAGCAAAAAACCCATTGACCCGTTCAATGGTTTTTGTCTTTTTTTTTTTTGTCATAATGGATCGTCCGTTTGAACCAGACGGTCAAACTGCCAATCCGAAAACCCATGACTAGAATGGTTCCATTTTTGGGTCGTATGAGTCGCATGCTCAAATAACATAACATAATGGTTTTTAAAACCAACCCGAAGACCAAACTGGTCAAGAGTCCGTTTACCAGATCAAACGGTTTGATCATTCCCATTCTAACAAAATAAAAAACAGTCAAAACCGTTCAAATGATTCGATATTTAGTTATTAATAATATTTATAATAACTATTTTATATTTATATAATTAGATATAATAGGTAATTAGATAATTATATATTATAGGAAATGGGTTGCTCTCACGTGGAAGTCTACTCGCACGAATAGATTCCATTTTCTGCACGGAGAGAGCACTCCTATCCTATATATAAGATTAGTTACAATTGTTGCGTTTATACTTATTATAACAAGATAAAGATATATCACATGTTTTGCATAGTTTATTTGTAATAACTTCACATAAGATGTCTAAAATCACGGTTAAGGATGTTTAAAGCTACATTTGGCATTCCATATTTTAAGGATTTATCTCCTTTTTACTATTAAAGTACCCCTATTAACACAAAATTTTTAAAAGGGAGATAAGTCCTTAACTAGAGAGATAGAACCGACAATACTATTGTCAAATTACCAAGTTAAAAGTATGCGAGTTGTAAAGTGTAAATGGGTCTTACAATGCCACCCTTGATAATCCTGATGACAAAAAGAGTGGGTTCTTGGTCATTTGCTTACAAACCCTATGAGGTTTGGGTTGGGGCCGTGTTTGTTTTAAGGTGTATATTTAGGGTTCAACTATCAAGCTAGAAAGACATTATATCAGAAAAATTTATAACCGATCAACCGGCATCATAAAAGTAATAACTAATCAAGCTAGAAAGACATTATATCATAAAATTTTATAACCAATCAACCGACATCATAAAAGTAATAACCAATCAGGTGGGTTTTCATCAAAATTCATGAAGGGTTTGAATGATCAAAGGATCATGTCTTTCAAGCATGGTTTTTAAAACCAATCCGGAGACTTAACCGGTCAGGGGTTCGGTTACTGGGTCGAATGGTTCGACTGATCAGCCTGTTCTAGCAAAAAAATAAAAAAATGATCAAAACCGTTCAAACGATTAACTGTCCGGTTCAGCGATTTGCTAACCAAAATCAACGTTTTTTTGAGAAAATCCAGTTTTGGGGAGAAACGGAACCGATCACCTAACTGATTCCCAATTTTTCCGGTCCGACCATCCAGTCTAATCCGGTTTTGAAAACAATGCTTTCAAGCATCATAGTTGAATTATTACTTAAAAATGAGAAAATGAGGATTGATTTTTGCACTTCTCTTATATATGCAAATGGGGATTGAATGGATATGTTTAGATACAAATTTAATTTGTTGATATTTGAACCCTAGTTAAACCCTATCTATCGGATTCAGGTTAGACTCAAATCTAACTCCGGATATTGAATACTACAGATAAATTAGACTAAAAAAATCAGAATATTGTATATCATTAATAAATTAAACTAAAACTTATTTAATGATTTATATAACCAATAAAATGACTTTTTAATAACTTGCACGAGATTTGAAAGTACATAATACAACATCCAAACCAACGTTATTGATTTTATATAAATATTAGAGGTGTTCACAAGAAGAACCAAACTGATAAAACCAATGAAATCGATCCGATCCAACCTGATCTGATCGGTTTTTTTGAAACTTTTGGTAGGTCTCAGTCTATAAATATAAACAATCCGACATACCGAAACCAACCCGAACCGAATGAACCATGGCTAATAAAAGTCTAATACTTTTGGTTTTGGAATATAAACAATGGGATTCCCTCCACTTTTAAGACTTTACACCATACTTTTTACAAATATAGACAGTTGGACTCCATTTTAGTTATTACTATTTTTATATTAGTCTTGAAGTTGGGGACAATTGGGCTTCCCTTCATTCATTAGGCTTAGTTTGAAAGGAGTACAAATGCAAACATGTAGCGTGCAAAACTTTATATTTTATATTATTTTCTATGTATTTACACTGTATATATTTGTATTTATACTCTTTCCAAATCGAGCTTTACTTTTTTTTGTAACAGTCTTAAAGTTAAATAGGTTTACACAAAAAATGGCAATTGTCTTTGGGTTTGGGGTTACTTACCCAGCAGCCTATATAACTTAAAAAATAACATGTGCTTATGTACTTTAAAAACTTAAAACGCTTATCAAGACGATTCCCTGATTCTCTTTCTTCTGCCGCAAATTATTAAAATCACACACAGGCATGAGAAATTATTAAGAATTGAAAGAGCACCGACTCACAGCCTAAATGTTGATGGCAGAGGCAATGAACAATGTGGGATGTGGCCCTCTTGCTTAGAGAGGGCTTTGCCCTGCCCCCCACCAAACGGTGCACCGTGCTCTGTAATTTGGCCCATGCTTCATGATTCACCGAATTCAAAATGGAAGGTCCACCAGGCCACCGCTGCCCATTTGGCAAGTTGATTAGTATTTGTGCAATTACAAATTTACAATCCACTTGGTTTACGGTTGGAAATCGAAATCCCCTAAAATTGAAATTAGGGTTATTCCCCTCAGTTTGGTTCAAATGGGAATCAGAATCGGATTATATAAGATACGCATAACTCCCACGTAAGGTTGGCATGGGATAAAGAAATATAGGGTTTTAAAAATGAGATTTTCATTTCCAAAGGGGAGGCTGAAAGGACCATTTCCTCCAATGAAAGAATCCCATTCCTTCCAACCAAACAACTAAAATCAGAATGGACCATTTCAGTTCCAATTCCAGATCCCCAAATGAGATACAAAATAACAATTCCTAACCATGTAACCCTGTCTCTTTACCAAAAAGACCAAGCAACCCAGTATTTAGTTGAGAAAAAGAAAACTGAAAAAATAAAATTAAATAGAAAAGGAGAACTCTACCGAAAGTCATAACTCATAATAAACTAGTCATTTCTGTCACTTGTTTTTCTGAATTTTAGACCAAAAGAACAAAAAAAAAATGTCAACAAACAAATATCAATAAAACATAGGACTAATATGTGGTGAGCGTTAAATTCTAAAATGGAGAAATTATTCGAGGTTTTAAGGGATAAGAAGAAAGTTGGGTTGGGTTATGGTTAAAGGAATTTATTTAGGGCTAGGGTTAAGGTTGGTTTGGTTGAGTTGAAGGTCAGGTTAGGGTTAGGGTTTAGAACTTAGGTTAAACTAGGATTGGCCTCAACCCGACCTAATCCGGCCCAACTTGCAGCCCTATTTGTTTCGTTACTCAGTTGTTTCCCTCGCTTTTTGTACCTCGTACGGTTATACGAGAGATAAAAGATTTAGAAGGGCAAATTTACCTTTATTTTGTCTTTTTTTTTTTCCTTTTGTTTTCTCGTCAGCCAAACTAAAGAAAGTCAAATTCTATGAGGATAGACTTTCTTTACAACCACAATATATAGCAAGGATCGCGGAAAAGACATAATTGATTTAGGGAAAAATGAGATTCATAATTACATTCTTTTAGTAGCATGTGCTGGGAAAACACAAATTGATTTTGGGAAAATGATAATACCAAAAAAAAAAAAAAAAGAATTCCATGAATAACAAGGGCTGTTTTGAGTCTTCAGTTGCTTTCACTGTTGTTGGACCGCCGATATGGCACATAGCGGTGGTCCTTCGAGGCATTTTTCCTCCTCCTTTTCTCAATAAAGGATTCAAGCTTGCCAGCTGCCTGGAAGATCATAGAAGATAATAATGAGTGAAAAGCAATAATGGTTCACTTCATAAAACAGTTCTCAGACAAGAATACAATATACTTTCAGTTTTCTAAAACCAGATACCTTAAGATTGTTATATTTCTCAATAAGCATCTGTTTCCGAATTTCAGCTGCAAAACCAGAACTCAGTTAGGCTTATGACCATATTTTTTGTACGTCTCAAGGGTGGAATGGGTTTGCAAACATTACATTTCTTGAGATAAAATGGGCGTTTTCCATGTTTTGCTGCTTCTCTCTCTTTCTTCTTATGTTCAGCCAATATCTCAGCATCAGCACGTTTTGAAGGCCCTGCTTTAAGTTGTTTGTCCTAAAAAAATAACATGATGCAAAATCTGTGAAGTGAATATTTGCCACATATTTCTAGAATGACAACCAAATATACCACCAGATAAAATATCAGAATTAAGCCATGTTTGGGAGTGCTTAAAAATAGGTGCTTATTTGGACCATTAAGCACTTATTGGTATTTGGAAAATAAGCCCAAAATAAGTGCTTATTTTAAAAATAAGGGCTTATTTTTAAGCCCAAATTTCCAGTTTTTTAAGTGTTTATGCAATAAACACTTATTCAAAATTTTTCTTCCAAAACTATCCCTAGTTGAATTTTAAAATACCACTTATAAAATTATCCCTAGTTAAATTTTATAAAAGTACTTTTATAAAATTTTTCCTAAAAGTGCCTTTATGAAAGCACTTTTACAAAAGTACTTTTATGAAAGCACTTTTATAAAAATGCTTTTGTAAAAGTACTTTAATAAAGTGCTTTCATAAAAGTCTTTTCATAGAAGTACTTTCACAAAAGTACTTACATAAAAGTGTTTTTATAAAACTAATTTAACGAAAGTGCTTTCAAAGGGTATATTTTGAAAGTTTGAAAGAAAATGAAGGACAAAATAGTCACAAATGCTTATTTAAGTGCTTATTCAAATAAGCACGTGTTTTGAAGCACTTATTTTTAACTCAAGCACTCCTAAACATGGCCTTAGTAGACTAGTTCTTTCCATGGTTGAACCACTTACAATCCAAGAAATATGGTTCTTTACTTCAACAATCACTTCGGGATCCTTCGATTTCTTTATCAACTTCTGTAATTCCTATAAAAAGCCAAAGTTGACCACTTCATCAATATTAGGCACAATTCTAAAATAATATCTATTCCGTGACTTGCAGGAAAATACCTGTCTCTCAGCAGGAAGTTGAGTCTCGAATAAGAAACCATATCTCTTCTTAAACCTATTAAAGAAAAACAAAAATAAAGTACAACAAATGCATGAGTTATAATAGAAAATACTTCAGGAGAGGGTAGAAGCTTAAATTGATAATAGAAATATATGACATCACAATAATGGGTCAAAACAATTGCAGCACACTGTACATTATAACATTAGGAGTTAGTAAATGATGCAAAAATCATTGCAACAAGGCCAGTCCATAAAGAGGCTTCCTTCGCAAATCATGGAATCTCTGTCATGTGCGGCATTATTTCGATTTCCTTAATTTTTTTTTTGAAAAGGTAAAGTACAATTTCATTAAAACAAAAAAGGCCCTCAGTACAATGAGATGCTGTACAAGTAAACCATTAGGGACACCCAAAAAAATCCACCCTCAAAAAAAAGAAAAAGAAAGTCTATCATTTTAAAATACATTATGTATGGACGACCAGCTGCTAGGTTCCTCTACTGCCCTATTCATTACCCTTGCTTCCGGTGATTCTTTTGGTTCAAAAATTCTCAAATTTCTTTAAAACCAAATGGCCCACATAACCACTGTAGGAATTGCTGACCAGCAGACTTTCCCTTTTCTGGACATACCCAAGATGCCCCAGTCCCGTAAAAGATCTCCAACTGAAAAAGGAAAGCACCAGTGCAGATTTAGTGCCGTTGTAAAATGAAGCCAAACTACTGTACTAAACCTGCAATGCAAGAACAGGCGGCTAATTGGCTCTTCTTCTCTATTGCAAATCACACATAACAATAAAACACTTTTTCAGAAACATTTCCTTGGTCAAGCACTTCCCCAGGATTACCACCCAAGTGAAAATTATCATTTTTGAAGGTGTAATAGATCCCCAAACAGTCGAGCTAGGGAATGATCCCTTGGATCTCCAACTAGACCCTTGTAGAAAAATTTACCTGAAAATCCCCCTGAATGTGTCCACTTCTAACATCTTGAGTCTTGAGATTGTTAGTTTAGTTGCTGGGTCTGTAGTAAAGCTAAGGTGTCAGCAACCAGATCGAGCTCCCAATCATTGAAACCTCTTCCAAATGAAGGATTCCAAAAGACCATGTTTCCAGTCACCTCATAGGTCTCAGCCACCCAGGCCAATTTGTTATCAGCTATACTAAACAAGGTCAGAAATCTGTCTTTTAGTGGACTCAGTTCCATTTCGCCACACCAAGGATCCAACCAAAACTGCTCCTTGCTGCTAAAAGGTTTTGAGACGCCTTTCCACTGCTGCTTATTCCATAGTCCATACTTCTCCACTATAACCTTCCTCCAAAGATTGCTGGGTTCTGTAGAAAATCTCCAAAACAATCTGACCAAGAGTGCCTTATTAAAGAGTTTCTCTCCTGATGCCCAACCCTCCATGAGATACAGGTTTACAAACCTGATCCCAATCCACTAAAATCTCTCATTCTATCCAATCCACAAAAAACCTCTCGTTCTTTCTTCAATCTGTTCTGTCATCTCAGTAAGGAATCGGGAATATGGACATATAGTAGGCTGGAAGGCTAGCCAGCACACTGGGTTCCAGATTTCAAAGAACACTTGGCCCCTAGTGGCAAGCACAATTATTTAGAGGGTAGACAGCCCACTTTGCAGACCAGTAGATCAACCAACTCATATGCATTCTCTACCGCTCTAACTGCCATCATTTCGCTTTCAGCCAAGATTACTCTTAAACCTGAAAGTTGAAACAACCTCAAATCAATATAATAAGTACTTTAAATTGAGCACCTGATCCAAAGAAGCACTGCAGAAAAAATAATGTACCATCTGCAAACTGTAAAAGAGCAATCTCAGTGCCATTACTTCTAATTTCGAAACCCTCTAAGCATCCCACTTCAGAAGCCCGATCTGCCACCTTGTCTAACCCTCTTGAACTTTTAAAATTCCCTTTAGTGGATCCATTAATTAGAACAGAAAACCTGGGTGTGGTCACGCAGACCATTCCTCCAATTTCTCCACTTGGACCCAAATCGCATTCGAGCCAGTATGTAGTCTAGGAAGGAGGAGAAGCGTGGGGGGAAGGAAATAGTTGATAAAAGAGTAGAGGGAAATTGCAGGAAGGGTAGAGGTGGGAGTTGGGGGCTGACTTTGAAGATGAAGTCGATATCTTCTTGATAATAGGGGCTTGAGAGAGAGGAAAGAAGATGAACAGTAGAAACAAGAAAGCAGGGCTCATTTGGAGAGCTGCATACCATCTGCAAGATGTTGGAATTTTTGGAAGGAAAGAAGTAGAAAAATTTTCGGAACCAAAGCTTTGATTTTGGTGAGGATAGTGGCGGCTGTCAACAAACCTCCTGTTTGCTGGGCTCTAGTTCCAGATTATTGCCATCTAGCCAAAGAAGTCATTGTGGATAAGCTTGGGGAAGTGTTGGGGTTTCAAAAGTGTAATCTGGTGTTGTTTTGTTTGTTTTATAATTGAGTTAGTTGGCCAGATTTCCTGGCAGGTCGGTGTTGCCTTAACACCTGGATAGGTTGTAGCTTTTTTCTTTTCTAATGATTTTTTTTTCACTTTCAAAAAAAAGCCCAATTAACATGACCATAAGTCTTCTCTAGGGCACAGGCACGGCTGGATATGGTGATGAATATGAAATTTACACTACAAATTGAAGTATCCAATACAATACGGCATTCTTATTCGAGTATCAGGTATCATATGTACTTTGCAGATGGAAGTCTTCTTCCTTGTCTGGTGCCCTTGACAATTTTGATGAGACGGCTATAACAGAATTTTCCAGTTCAGAATCCACATCAAATGCAATAGGTAAATATTACCCATCAAATAGCAAGGTACCAACCAGCTGGTTGGTAAGGTCTCCTGCTGGTCGTAGTGGAGACTTGGGATCGAATCCCACCTACACCTGGGTTGGGTGATGGGTTAGTCCCTGTTGTTAGCCCTTCACAAGATATATATATACACCCATCAAATAATTTGATATTGAATTGCCTCTTGGAAAGTACCTGCCAAAATGTTTCATATCTTTTATTCTTTATCTTCTTATTTGGATAATAATGTTTTTTTTTTCCAGTTTTTCCCGTTTGGTGCCCTTGACAATTTTGAGGCTATAAGGGAATTTTGCAATTCACAACCAACATCTAAATGGAAGAAAGTTTTAACACGAGTGCAGAGAGGTAAATATCACCTATCAAAAGGAGTGTGTGGAGGTCAAGAGGAGTAAGGTGGACCTCAGTCCCTTCTTGGGGAGCCTCGGGAGGGATTGTCACATTATAGAAGGAGGATGTAGTAGAAGCAGTGGAGTTAATAGGGAGGTTCTTGGTTTCCATCAAATTCAAGAATGTAGAGGATGACTTCACTTGGGTGTTAACCAATATCTATGGGTCCTAATAACTATAGAGAAAGGAATGACATGTGGGAAGAGTTGTATGCAATTCAGGGTCATGGGAAGGGACTATGAGAAAGGAATTCAGGGTCTATGAGAAAGGAATGACATGGTGTTTGGGAGGGGACTTCAATGTAATACGTTTTTCCGAAGAAACTAATAACTCCCAACAAACCATCACAACTAGCATGAGAGAGTTTAATAGCTTTATTGCTGATTGTGAGTTAAAGGAAATTCCATTGTTACAAGCTAGATTTACTTGGTCTAACCTACAGGAAACTTCCTTGTAGTCGAAGTTGGACAGGTTTATTTTTAATGTTGATTGGGATAACTATTGGGGAAACTTGGTGTCTAGAGCTTAGCTTAGGGTAACCTCCGATCACTGTCCTATAAGAATAGGTGTGGAAGATTTTACAGGTGGACTTAGGATGTTTAGTTTTGAGAACATGTGGCTAACCCACATGGACTTTGGGAATAAAGTTAAATTATGGTGGAATGAGGAATTGAGGGGGACAAGATGGAAATGGGTAAAGTAAGATTTCATAAGAAACTGCAGAGGCTGAGATCCAAAATAAAAGAATGGAATAGGGATCACTTTGGAAGAATTGAGGAGCAAAAAGTGAATCTAATCTCTAGGATAGAAGAGCTGGATGAAAGAAAAGCTCAAGCTAGATTGGAGGAGGGTGACAAAGACATGAGGAAACAATTGAAGAAGGATTTCGAAGAGGTTTTATTGAGAGAAGAAATAAGTTGGAGGCAGAAATCGAGGCATAAGCGGATCAAGGAAGGTGATGGAAATACAAAGTTTTTTCATGATGTGGCAAATGGGAGGAGGAAGAACTTTGTGTCTAAGCTAGAGGTAGGGGGGAGGTTTTCACTAATCAGGAAGATATTGCTAGGAAGTTTGTGGATCACCTTAAATCGACTTATAGAAGGACCTTGGATGAGAGGTTGGAATTGGAAGGGATCAAGTCTGAATGAAGATCAAGTTAGGTGGCTAGAAAGAATCTTCGAGGAGGAAGAGATTAGAAAGGCGGTGTTCTTAATGGATAGATCCAAAGTTCCAGGCCCATATGGTTTTACAATGGCCTTTTTACCAAGATTGTTGGGATGTGATAAAAAATGATCTTTGTGAGGTTTTTAATGAGTTTACAATAAGCATAAAGTTAGTCGAGGCATTAACACTACTTTCTTGGCTCTAATTCCAAAGAAATCTGATGCCATCCATCCTAAAGACTTCAGGCCAATTAGTTTGGTGACTAGTATCTATAAAATCTTACCAAAGGTGCTGTCTTTGAGGATTAAAGAAATCCTTCCCTCCATTATTAGTCAAGCCCAATGGGCAATCATCCAAGGACGACAGATAATTGATCAAATCATAGCTGCCAACGAATGTGTGGAGAAGATGAAGAGGTTTAAACAAAGAGGCTTTGTATGTAGGCTCGATCTTGAGAAAGCCAATGATTTGGTGGACTGGCAGTTCCTAGTAGAGGTTTTCAAAAAGTGTGGGTTCGAGGAAAGATGGTGTGGTTGGATGTTTGGTGGTGTAAGCTCTTGTCACTACTCCATCTTAGTAAATGGGGTGGCAAGGGATTTTTTTTTCCACCAGCTAGTAGGGATATTAGACAAGGGGATCCACTTTCACCTTTTCTCTTTACCTTGGTA